TAAGCCGACACCAACAATTCCAAAGGTGCCTTTAAAAATAAAGCAGCATACCAAAGGTCAGAGTGAAGAGGGAGCTTTCTTGACGGCTCAGTATGGACAGTTTCCCTTGATGTGAAGGTTCCATGCTGGCATACTCCAGTTCCAAACTCTGACCAGCATCAAGATCACAAACACCACTTTTCTCAGGGGAGCCCATCACTCTGAGATTATGATTGGGCTGTACCTTAATGGGAACACCTACAGAATTTGTTACTGTAAAAGGCGCCCTGTCTTTTAAAGAGTAGTCAAAAGTAGAAGCAGCGCCCTCTGAAAAACCCTGAAAAGGAACACAACATCACAATAAAATTTTTGCATAGCTCAAATGTTTTTCAAAAATTACACTGTGACTACACATTATTTAGAAACTAATTTTCAGGACAAACAAAAAAAAATCCACACATCTCAATTAAAAATTCTGTTTGAAATACTGAAAGAAAGAAGCAAACATACCTTTGCTAAATTGTTGAAAACAGTAAGAGAACTTTTGGATACTGTTATATTCATTGTGTCTCCTGAAGAAATACCAACTTCTGTTTGTGGCTCAGGAATTACAATAAAATCATCTCCTGGCATCAAACTTTTATCCTGGACTGGATTGTTCTTTACCTACGGGGATAACCACAAAATAAATGTAACTTATTGGCCAATTAACAATAAAATTAAAATACTCTCAGTAGAGTTAAATGTTCTTAACCTAGTCATTTTATATTAAGACTCCTTAAAAGTTTCATTTTCAAAAATATGCAGTGCTTCACCTTAAATTAGTACAGATCAGCATTCTTTCTTTCGGTATGTAATCAACACTAGGGAAACGTTCAGAACTGTGCCATGAAACCACTCCAAGTGAGCTAACACATTTATCTCCTGTGCGCTCCCCAGAGAAAGCTACTTTCCCAGTGTCACTTGACTCACGGTCATCATGTGTTGATGAGCACGCTAAGATGACCCTGAAGTCTACACTGATCCTCGCTGGAAATAACATCTGCAATTCCTTTTACTTTTACCAGTAACACCGATAAATAAGTAATATAAGCTTTCAGCCAGCCATCAGATTCCATCCTAGCTTTTGTTCTAATAGCATTTCAAAAGCCTTATAAAATATTCTTTATTAGCCTGCCCGTTCCACAGAGAGGTAGGTCAGAAGTATCACCCCCACTTTACTGAGAGGAAATTGGGACACAGGTTAAATGACGGCTCATCTTTAATACAAGAATCTGCTGAGTCAGTTTCAGTGTCTCTCTCACACCTGAGTCAGGCTGCCCTAGACAGGTGTGCTGTTACAACTTGTAAAGGGTATAATACTTATGTTCCTGTTAATCTAGAGAGACGTGCTTTGGTTTCTAGGATTCTGCAGTACCATAAGGAGATAGCACAGAGAATTCAATTCAAAAATTCTCGAATTTTTTGATGTCTCAAAATGATTGAGTATTCCAAAGAGCTTCATTTACGTGGGTTATATCTATCAGCATGTATCATGGGAACATTTTAAATATTCACTTAAAAACAGTAATTACATGTTAAAACAATATTTTGAAGAGAAGTAAGTGTTAAAAATACACAGTGAGGAGAGGAGCAATTACAAATCTCTCCAGTGGCTGCCTTCAGAGAAGAGAGGGGCACTCTCATTGCTGCTTCTGTATTCATTCCACTGCAAAAGGACACAGTCTCTGGAAAACGCCTTCGTATGCTTATGAGAGAATGAGAATGAAAATGATAGATAACGTCTGAATATTATCCTGAAAATAATTTTGATCCCATGATCCTCTGAAAGGGCCTCAAAGATCCTGGACCACATCCTGAGAATCTCTGAACTAAAGAAAAATATATAAATGAATGTGCTTAATGTCAGCCTACATAATAATATTTTATGATTTCCTTACAGCAAGCTTTAAATTCCATGGTCTTTCCCCTCCACTCTTTCGATCAGTGGCTCCCAGACAGCATGGGTCTCATTGTAATAATGAACCTGGAAAGGCACAGAGTTATAACAAGAGAGTCTTTCAACTTTAATTACATATTTCTACATGGAAAATATTAAGCAGTTGTTGCATGTCAATAACAATTTAACAGCACACCTTTGACACAAAGAATATATGTAAAGAGGGTGCATATTCTTTTACTCTCTTACTTTACTGCCATAAACAAATTATTTAGCAAAAGAACCTTAAAAAATGACCAAATAAATACTACATTACAACAAATTCTGTTAGAATGTACTATCTATTCTTATATATACTTGCTATGTTCATACAACCAAAAAAAGCTCACTTCTCAATTTTTCAATTGTACTTTTGAGAAGGAGCCGCTGCAC